ATGTCACAACACAACCAACTGAAAAAAAGAATAACATCAGGATACTATGAAGAACTGTACTACAACAAATTTGAAAATCTAGAGGAAATGGAAAGATTTCTAGAAATACACTACTTACTTAAACTAACACAGACTGATAGAAAATTTGAACAGACCCATAACAAAAGAAGAAATTGAACAGGTCATTAAAAACTTACCAACAAAAAAAAGTCCTGGCCCAGATGGTTTCCCTGGAGAATTCTACCAAACATTCAGAGAAGAACTGACACCAATCCTACTCAAACTATTCCAGAACATAGAAGAGGATGGGATCCTCCCAAATTCATTTTATGAAGCAACCATAACCTTGATACCAAAATCAGGCAAAGACATCACTAAAAAGGAAAACTACAGACCAATATCCCTCATGCATAGAGATGTAAAAATCTTCAACAAAATCCTAGCCAACAGACTCCAATAACATAGCAAATAATAATAAAATAATACATTATGACCAAGCAGAGTTCATACCAGGTATGCAAAGATCGTTCAACACTAGAAAAACAATCAACATCATCCATCACATAAGTAAAATAAAGGAAAAGAACCACATGATCATATCAACTGATGCAGAAAAGGTATTTTGATAAAATCTAATGCCTATTCCTGATAAAAACTCTCAGAAAGACTGGAGTAGAAGGGAAATTCCTCAAAATAATAAAGGACATATATACAAAACCAATAGACAATATTATTCTCATTGGAGAGGGACTGAAACCATTCCCCTTGCAAACGGGAACCAGACAAGGATGCCTTCTATCACTAGTTCTGTTCAACACTGTACTGGAAGTCCTAGCCGGGGCAATAAATAAGGCAAGAAAGGGAAATCAAAGGCATCCAAATTGGTAAGGAAGAAGTAAAACTATCCTTATTTGCTGATGATATGATCCCATACATAGAAAACCCAAGAGACTCAGCAAGAAAGCTACTGGAACTAATTGAGAGATTTAACATAGAGGCAGGATACAAGATCAACATACAACAACCAGTTGGGCTCCCCTACACCAGCAAAGAGATTGCTGAAAAGGAAATAAGGAAATAAATACCATTTACAATAGCTACTAAAAAAA